AGGCTGGCCACTGGGCAGCACAGCACCCCCACATGGGTCACTCACCATGTTGTTCCAGAGGGCGATGGCCAGCTCGGCGTGGCCGCGCTCCGAGAAGTGGAAGCAGTCATCTGAGAAGAAGGTGAGGTCGGCGCCCCCTCCCTAAGACAGGAGACAAGAGGGTTATTCACGGGGGTGGGGGTGGAAGCTTGCCCCCTCCCCCACCTCTCTCTGGCCCCTTTCTCCTGCATTCTGCTGCCAAGTGGCCCAGATGCCAGCAGGCAAACTCTCAGGATGGGGGGAGAGGGGGGAATATTTTGTTTAATAAATGTTTTAAATGGATCATAATTTCCAGGTCTTCTGCTCCAGGAATTGAAAAGAATCTTTGGGGGATGCTTTCCATTCTATCTCAATCCAGCAATCCTCAGGGCTGTCGATGGTCTCCCTTTCTTCCCGCGTCCCCCCAACTTCCCATCATCCAGACAGACAGACACAGGGCGGACCAAGAGACCCCCGTGGCCCGCAGCTTACGCCGTTCAGTGGGACGAGAGTATTTTGGAAGAATGGCTGCACCACAATGGCAAAGTCCTCCCGCTGCAGGTACCGGTGCTGGTAGGCCAGCTTGGAGACGCCGCTCTGGGGGTGGGAGAGAGGCTGTCAGTCCTCCCCGCAGGCTTCCCCCCCGCTGGCTCCTGTGGCAGCTGCCTTGCGTTGGTTGAGACGAGGGCCAGGCCACCCCCGACCCAGGTCTGGAAGAGGCTACTTCTTTAGTCCACATCCTGTGGGAGCCCCTGTGTCCCCGAGACCCTAGGCAGGGCTCACCTTTGGACCGGCTTCCACCAAAGCAAGCCAGGTTGGGTCAGAGCCACTGAGCCGACTGCCTGGGCCAGAGGGCACCTGGGCTTCCACTTGTTGAAGAATCAGGACCCGGGATTCCAGCTCAGGCAGGGATTGTCCTCGTACTGGCTCCTCACAAAGTATGGGATCTTTGGGGGCCGAGTGTCCATGGTCTTTGGAGTGACTGTGACCGAGTGTGGGGT